GCGATTACAAGCTAATATACACAGGCCACAGCCACAGCCAAACAAACTAACAAATACCTACAACATACATTCGTAGGAAAGGATCATCCAACAAAAACAGTACGGGGTGGAATGTTGGGTAGTTGATCGTTTGGGAAAGAAGATGACAAAACGGGGTGTTGGTTGTGGGGGGGGGGGGGGGGGGGGGGGGGGGGGGGGGGGGGAAAGGGATATATTAGCCTCTCTCTAAGTTTCCAAGCAACGAGGTTCTATTCTCATAGTGTTTTGCTACTTGCATAATCCAGTATCCGTTAAATAAATTTCTGTTCAAGAAGTACCACGATAAGCGCTGTTGACATTAAGGAGCTTAAGTACCTTACAATGACGGCGACGGCTACGATCACGTCACTTAAAAACAGTGAATTCGCACTGCCTCAAACTTTATCGCGCTTATACCATCTCCTTTAATTTGTCAAATGCTGGCAAATTTTTTTGGAGTTGAATTCTTAAGGAGTGTATCAAAGTTCAGCAATTGAAAAAGAAAGTTGTTGTCTTGTGTTCCCGTCCTCGACAAAACGTGAATTTAGTCACTTTTTCGGTAGTAGTCGTGCAACGACTGCAAAGAAATGTACAAAAAGGCGTGTTGTTTTACTAACATAAACTTATCGGTTTTTTTTTTTGCCGTTCTCGTTCCCGTCGCCGTCGTCGTTGCTTATAAGCTCCCTATTTGTTAAGAAGACAGTGTGATATGTCCCATAATCATATATATATCACCTTTATAGCCATGCACACTATTCTTCCGTCTTGTAGTTCCTCAATGAATTTAATCATTGCTCCTCCTTCTTCCTTTGAGGCGTATGTGTCAAACGCTCTCACAGCCATAGGGACACCCGTCCTCTGATTTAAAACAAAGACTAAAACTCCGCGCATGTTTTCCTTGGTGACCTCTGAAATCTTAAAAACAGCGTTACATTGATTGTTATAGTGATCAGCACCGGTTTAGACCAGGGGAAGAAGCGTGAAAACGGTACTACCCCTTTCGGGCGGAGCATCCCCGAAAAAGCCGTCATCAACGGAGAGAACTTCCCTCCTCCAGTGTGCTCGGTACCGGCTTAGACCAGGACAAGAATAATGAAAAAGGTACCCCTTGGGACGGAGCCTCCGCGTAAATGCCGTCATGGGGGGTACCCCCTGAGTCGGAGCCAGCTTTTGTGTTCAAGATTTCTCAGGAACGTTTTGGTTACCAACAAGAGCCGATCCGCTCCTGTTACCAAAGTTAGTTTTAAATGGTAGTTAGTTTTCATAGGCAACCAAAGCTTTAATCCAGCCCTATGACAGAAAAAACTAGCGTCCAGCCTCCCGGCCACTGGCTTTGCGACACGAAAAACTATTTAGGGACAGGTCATTATTTATCGCTGGGGTGGGGGGGGGGAGGGCGGAGGACGAGCGTCTAGATCCCAGATTCTAAAACATCGCGCAACGTTTATCCACGTCGTATAGTCGTTAGGGCGGTCCATGCGGATGTAGAACAGGTAAATCTTGTTTTGTGTATCGGGTACAAAGTCTTTGGGATTTGTACAAGGAGTCCTGGAGTGATCTAAAAGTTCGGCTTGACTGAGGGGAGAGAAAAAACGAAAATAGAGATAATTAGTTCTCAGTTCAAATGTGAACGTCTGGAAGGATGTAGTTGTATTGTGAGGCTTTTTTTCAATTCTGGTTACTACAAATCAAGGCGTAAGATGGAATCTTTGGTAAGCGTCAATTTTGGACTCACTTAGGGTGTTCAGGACTGTTTCGACGATATGACAAAACTCAACGATTTCAAAACTTAAGAAAAATAACAATACCAGACAAAAAAGACGAAACAAACCTAGCGAAAAGCTTGACCGAACTACACTAGGCCTGCGAAAAAATCACAAATCGAGCAACACGTGCTTGCCCTGTAAAATTTCTATTTAATTTCTTTCAGATTTTCTTTTTTTAAGTTTTTACACTTTGAATGCGCTCCATATTAGGGTGGAAAAGGTCCTTAAAATGTGTCTAACACAAAAATAAACCGGTCTGTGTTAACTCCGTGACATGTTTGTTCGCTCCTTTTAATGGATTCCTACCCAAAGTTAAGACCAACTTTTCATTTAGGGCAAAATATTCAGTAGACCTGCACCGTTCTAAACCTCATTGTTTTTAGAGATAGAGCCATTGTTACGTGACAATCCCTATTGTTTTCCCAGCTAATCAAAGACAATCTTTCAAACAGGTGCGGGATCGCCCAAAATATTTGGTCAGGCGAGGGGTAGGCAGGCAATTTTCCAGAATCTTTTAGCAATGATACCTTATCAGTCGGTGTAGCTCCTCTTCATATTTTTCCTTGTACATGATATCAGCGTTTATCTTAACACTTGGTTGAGTATTAAACGCATGTCGTTTAAAATAAGCTTCATTCATGGCCGGGCCCACATTCAGACCCTTGGCGCCAAAATGGTAGGTACGAGAAATGTCTGGGATTATACATTCACGGTCTTTTCTTTGTTTGGGCATTCTCATCCACATGTCCCAATCCCAGAACACATCAGGGGCAGGCCACTTTGACTCCAGTTCACCTTTGTAGATTTTTCGACTAAGCACCCTGGAATATAAGCAAGTTTAATGTCAGCATTACTTCAAAAAACGAGATTAAGGCTATACGATTAAAGAAAATAAAAGACAATGGTTGTTTTGCCATATATTTGACGTCCTCTGAAGGCTCATAGGGCATATAAAAACAACCTTCCCCAACGGCCATGTTTTTTGGTTTTCAGCACGGCGCCTCCGCGAATTGTGTTGGTAGCGCAGTTTTGTCAATTTTCATCTCTTGTTACCCCTTCATTTTTCCATTGTATGATTTAATTTTAAAGAGCGTTTTCACTCACGTGGTCAGCAGTAAGGAATGAATGAATGAATGCTGATTAAAGTGTAATCAGCAGCAATGCAGTTTTATCGGAGCAAAAGAAAGTTTTTAGATTAGAAAAGAGTTCAACTCTCACAAGATTTTTTTGGGACACCAACATGACGGATATGACGTCACGCGACGACTCAAATATGAGACACAAATTAACTGACACAGATTGTTCACAGTCCATCCCCTATTATCCCGTAAGAGATCGTCGAGATCGGGCGCTTTGCGTTACGGGCTGCCATCTTGCATGAGTGTCAAAACTACTGTTTGAAAATCAAGACGGCCGCCATTAATGGTAGGACGCGATACATCTCGACGATCTCACGGAAAAATAGGGGACTGTGAACAGTCTGTAACTGACAACATTCCTGCGTTTGATGGTTTCCATGGTTACCATACTTACCATCCAAGACCTGGCATTGTTTCAATCCTGTATGTCATAGAAGTATCTCCTACAGTGTAATCATAGCCCTGTGGGAAAATCAAAGAAAAATATCACATATATTCTCTGTCAATAAATCAAATTACTCCTGAGCTTTGTCTGTGTCAAGCGTTCTTGGCACGTGGTAAATTTATTGTGATTTATCAAGCTGATTGTTGATAAGAAGCCCAAGGCCGAGTTGTTCAAAGCCGGGTTAAGATAACCCAGGGTTAGTGCGAAATTTGAATTCAGATTTGAAAGCTTATATAAGCATTTCAGTTTTAATTCTTTTTGTCTACAAGTTGATGATTGAAAGCTCTAAATATAACAGAGAAAATTATCCGAGAAAATGCTTTTGAACACAAGAAAGAGAAACCCGGGTTATATTTAACCCCGTGTTAAGCGCTAATCGGCCTTCGATCAACTGGGCCCTGCGGAAGAGTTCAGTCCCAATATTCTCTTCATCTCGTAAATCCCGGGTGTCATAGCAAGCTACTTTAAGATAGCTTAAAAGCTGCAACAGTTTTAGAGTTCATATTTGCAAGTTAGAGTCAGTACGTATCTGTATATTACATAGAGTTAGAATTAGCGATAGTTATAACAGATCTTGTATATCTATCGAATAAGCTTCTACGGGAGCCTGAGCTATGGAGCGACACGGGAGGGAAAGATAAGACAAGACAAGTCAAGAAAAGAGAGGAAAAGAACCACAGGAATTCAAAACCTTGATCGAACATATCACTTGCTCCAAGAGAGGCTTGCACAGTACACCCAAGCTCACCCCATTGCCCTCTACCGGTATCTCCCGATTGATTTTAGCTAACCTGATCGTTCCAAGCTGATATACAATAAACACTCTCGTCGTTTTGCAAGACTGGCAGAAGCTGTTTGAAGTAGCTGAGGATATCAACAGATATGGCGAGATCTTCTTCCAAAATCACAACGTAGTTTGCGTCAGGAAATTGATCAAAAGCTGTCGTTATCGATTTTTTGTAGTGCTGGATAAATAGAAATTACAAAACAAACAAAATAAAGGTTCAGTTAACAACAATGAATTCATATGTACGATATATCGCACACTGGGTCGATGTCATAAGGTGTCCCACTTCCATCTTGCTACGTCAGTGGTAGTTTCTCTACAGGGGCGGGTCCGAGATTTTTTTAGGGGGGTGCACTCGTCTCTTTCTCTACTTCAACACCAATAAACCACATAGTTTTTTTTTTGCAGAATACCAGTTGTATTAGGAAACCGCAGGTCATCTCAGGGGAGGGGGGGG